TCATATAACCATTTTAGAGGAATGTAAGAATATAACTTTGGTCTTAAACCACAATATTCATACATAATATGACCACCTAATTCATCTTTAAGCTTTCCAGTGACTTTTTTATTTTTATCAGAGTATAAGAAATGGTCTTTACTATATCCAGAGGTGTCAAAATAGTGTAAGTCACATTCTATTTCCTTGTAAAAGTCCTCTGTAACTATAGCATACATTAATGAATCTGTATCTGTCATTAGAAATCTTTTATTCTTAAATTTTGACATATAATTATAGTGGAAATCATACATTATTACTTTACTAATATCCAAAATGGTCATTCCCAAATATATTGGTTTATTAAACTTTACAACTAATTTATTTAAATGTATAGCATGTAAATTGTTATCAAACTTTTTGCTACAGTCAAACCTTGGATTAGTGACATATTTTGTTAATAGTGACTCATCCTTGAGATATATATCACGAAACTTGCGTTGATTCATGATTGTTCGACCAAAGAGACTATTATTTAACAATTTATAAAAGTCTTTTTCGAAATCAGTTTTAGCACATTTGCGTTTTTCAATATTAAAATTAATATAGGGCGCAAGCCATTTAGACTGTCTAAATTTTAAAATTCTATGGTATTTTGTAACAATCAAACCCAATTCCTCATATTTTTGTAATGCTTTATAATGTAAAATATATTTAGTTTTGTCATTTAAATTCGGCATTAATTTGCCATTCATTTTCTCAGGTGCTAATGGGTAGTCATTATGTAAATCATGTAAGCTTTTATCATATTTTAAATCAACTTCTAAAATGTATCCAAACTCATCATTTTGATTGTATTTGTAGTCTATCTCATTAGTCCAACGAAATCCATCCACAGGTAGTGGCTCACACATTGCTGTGGAGTATAGCGAGTTACAATCTAAATATATTAAATACACACTTTCTTGATTGGGGTCATAGTGTTCGCCCATATATCTATTATTGGCTTTAGCATAACGTGTGGAAATCATACTGACTCCTCCTCTGATTGCACTTTCTATGAACAAATGCATGTCAATATCTTGAAATAATTGTAATTTTATACCGGTCATTCTAAGACAGGCCTCCCATGTTAGTCCAGGGAGTGAATACTTATGTACGGGGTCAAGTTTATAATCTTTTAAACACAGGTCTCTAAATGTCTCAAAGACATCAGCCAGTAGCAATACGTCTGTTTTAAGATATAAATCATGATATTCTTGTAAATTATTTATATTAAAATGGGTCCAGACATTTTTAGCATGTTCATATTCATTGGGAGAGATATGTTCTTTAGTTAGAGTACTGTAAAATGCTTCTTTTGGGGGTAGAGACTCTGCGAACTTATCTGGTCCCGTCATATATTCATAGGGATATACACCTTTACGTTGTAGTAGTGGATTGTCTATAAATCTAAATGTATTTAAATTGGAAGCTAATTTGTATAATGGAAGGGACAAAAAGTTATAGGAATCTAAAAATACTAAATCATCAATAGAGAATGAAATGTACTTTTCCATATCCTTGGCTATGCAATTTAATTTACGATCTAACTTTACATATTTTCCCAAGTGTTGCATTATTAAATGACCGTCATAATTTTTCAAGTTATGGAAGAATACTGGGATTTTCTTTGTTACTTTATAGTTTAAATTGCAATCATTGTGGGCAGCTCCACGGTATTGGCCAGATGAATGGCAATGATCTCTCACCCTATCAAAATATAGGGGCTTTTCACAAATATAACAATGTGTCGAGTTTTGGAAAGACGCCTCTTGCTCTGGAGTCATTTGAAGAGGAATATATATTGCCATTTGATTTTTAATATAATCGTAAGTCTGAAATAGTCTTTCAAAAAACACATCCATAACATTTGTACCACTGTACAACTCTTCAGAAATAATTTTTGAATCTTTTACTACGACAAATGCAAATCCCGATGGAGTATGTATATTAGAGTTTATAAAGCACTCAAAATCTGCATAAATAACAAATGGGGCTTTAAGTTGATATTTATAATTTTTAAATTGTAATGTATCTTGTTTAGACATTTCCACTCGTTGGGCATCAAAGTTTTTACAATACGTTGTGTGACGTTCTAATATATCATTAGTGTAAAAATGTTGCAAACACAACTTGCAAAAATGCTTCTTATGGTCATATTTTGTAGACCGCAGCATTAACTTACCAAAATCACGAATTAAACAATAATGTGATTTACGACCTTCTTGTAATAATAATAAATCGATGTGAGTATTACTATTCAGTTTGGTTGTTCTTAATGGATATACACATTTCTGGTCTTCAACTCCAAATACATTTACACTTATATTATTTTGTGTTTCAAATTTATCTATATCAGATATTTTCACAGGATACTTAATGTTTGTCATATTCAGCTGACCTATGTAGGGTACATAGCTGGAGACTCTATTAGCATTTTCATTAGAGTTCCTTGGATATAAAGCTGCTAATATCGACCAAAGGAAGCATTTATTATCAGCATTTTTTATATTTAACACTGCATGTTTCGATTGAATAGTTTTTGGTGTGGGAATGTATGACTTTGGAGTTAGGGGCTTATACTTGTAAACATGTAACTGCCAATATTTAGTATGGTCATAAATCCATCCACTGCCTTGGGCTTGATATTTGTGTATGGATGCATCAATCTTTAAAAATGCATTTTCAATTTGAGGCTTTAAATCTCTCTTCTCAATAGTTAAGGTAGTAAGGCTTCTAAAATTTGCAATACATTCTTTTTCATTAACTAATTGTCCATTTTGATCCATTGAATATTTTATAAATTTAATTCTCCTTACTAAAGTCCATTTTATTGGCAGAGGACAAGACTGAAGAGTATTTTTAAGTTCAGTTCTAATCGATTCACCAACAAATTTAATCATTGTGTATGGACATTTTATGCAAGAATTGGCGTGTCTTTTAAAATGTCCAACAACATTCGTTTTACAGAAATTACAAGTCTTGTGATTTTGTAATATATGAGATTTTAGAGCTATGTTACTATCACAGATTAAATTACAAACTTTACACAGTTTTACCTTGATTTGATGTATCAAATTGTAGTGGCGAATCAGGTTACTTTTGGTGGAGAGCGACACGGAGCAGTGTTGACAGGTGGGCCTCATGGTCCAGAATGAAATATCACCCGAATGTCACTTCTATTTATAGACTTTTCGAAAATTTCAAATTTTTTTAAAATTTCAAAAATATTTTTACTAGAAATTAAAAATTGTTAAACAATTTAACTAGAAATTACTTCAACAGGAGGTCACCCACCCAGGACTTAATCAAGAGCTGCCACTAGAGACGAGAAGACCGACCATGGGTCAGGAGCGAGAAGCCTGACCATAAGTCGGGAGCATGCCCACGCCGTGAGCCGGGAGCACGCCCGAGTTCGCATACAAACCTCGCTCGATTTTGAGAATATACATGTGAATAGATGTGGATTTAAAATAGTAATGAAGTTGTACAATGGCATTGAACATTTATATAGGGGTGTACAGGCAAAGATCAGGATTTTTGAAAAAAGTGGCTAAAAAATGATCCCCATGTTATTCTTATGGGGAAAAACGCCCCAAGTGACGTCATATTCTTCTATTGCCTCTACTCTAAATTTACACTTGTAAGGGTCAATAAATATAAGAAATAGCTTTTTAGCTTAATATCAAATATATTTATGGGGAATAAGTAAGGAATAAGGTTTAACAATTATATAGGGATATTTAGGCAAAGATCAGGATTTTTGGTTTTGGTGGCCAAAAAATGATCCCCATGTTATTCTTATGGGGAAAACGTGCCTAAAGTGATGTCTCTTTGCTAGTTCGCCACTACTCTTGGTCTGTAGATGAGCCATCAAAAGAGAAACGTGGCAAATTCCCTTGGGGCTCTGCCCCAGTGGCCTTTAAATTCCCATCCCATGTTATTCTTATGGGGGGGGAAATGGGTTATTGTCACAGCTAATTTCAGAGAACGGCTGGGCCTTAAAACTTGGTAGGGGTCTCTAAAGAAAGGTCTTGGTCTGTAGATGAGCAATCAAAAGAGAAATGAGGTAAATTCCCTTGGGGCTCTGACCCAGAGGCATTTAAAGTTCCCTCTTCAGATTTGTTTACATTATGACCATATGCATAATTTTACACTACTTTTTAATGAAACAGCTGTTAAGTTAATATTTAAATTGTGATTTACTGAATTTGTCAAAATGAAGTATTTGCAATGACTTTTTCTGATTTTAAAATCGATTTTCTTCTGCATCATGTCATGTCTTGCAATGTAATGTTCTATTACCAAATCAGTGGAAAAAATATTTGTCATGGAGTTAACTTATATCTATTTCATGGGTTGGTTTCTGCTCTTTTTACCACTTCTTGGAGATTTTTCATAGGCGTGTTGCATGTAGACGATATTCTTTGGCGTATTGCATCTGTAGACTATACTTGGGTTGGTGTAGTTATTACAATGGAAAAAGTGAGAAAGCCTGGACAATTTGATATACTACAGATAAAACTGAATGAACACTGTGCTACATTTCTTGAGCAATCATTGAAAGAGCTGATTTGCAAACAATGGAAACATAGGAAAGTCATAGAACATGCACAACCAAGTAGAAGAAATAGAAATAAAGTATGTTTTTTTTTTCTTTTCATTTATAATCGTTATTATAGACAACCTGATGCGGTTATGTGTAGGAATCATTTGTAGAAAACACTAAAAAACAAGATCAGCTTTTGAAAAAAGATAATACATTTACAAACAATTTTGATTATATCTAACTGTTGTGTACATCGTGAGTATTTCCATAATCTTTGAATCGGCTCTTATAAAATCATCAGAAATTATGACTATTATTCGTTTTTAAATAACGCCTGTAATGCTTCGCAATTGCTCGAATTTGAGCAACAGGTACACTAGTTTTAATAATACTTAAGATTACAAAACAAATGTATATAGTTCATAAATACCTCCATCACAGAAGATGCAGGCATGGTAGTCCGTCATACTGCCTTGGGAGGCATCCTGAAACAGAAAATTGCAAATTATGTTTGTATACTGTGTAATAAGTAGCATTAGATATTGTTAAAAGAATAAAAATCTATAGCTTATACTATGACATAGTTTGTATATTTTTTTACTAAAATAAAAATACTATGCATCTTTTTTGTATGAATTTATGTGAGCAATAACTTATATAGCCAACAAGATATTATTTATACGATCATAAAGGATATAAAGATGTGATCTGACTCAGTAGACGATCAATATAATAAATATAAAAAAAAATTTGCTCAGCCAAACTGAAAAAGAAAACCACCAACAGCATACCAATACAAATTGCATCTTTATTCACCGTACTATTTCGATAAATGTAGTTTTAGTGTTTTTGTTTCGTGGGATAAACGAGAAGAATAGGATTTTATTGCCATGCATATTCTTTAACACTATATTATGTTTGTATACTGAGTGTTTTATTCCATAGATTGTATTTATACGATCTTATAATTGCTGTGGAATGGTAAGACAAAAAATATATTAAAAAGGAAGTGTAAGATTATTGAAAATACATAGGTTGCACTAATGATTGTAAAAAAACAATGAGAACAGAGTCTAGTTGAATAGCAATGTTTGAACTAAAGAATGTATCGATAAAGGGGAAATTTGGCAAAAGGTTGTAGTTGGGCTTGGTGTTGGCTATTGCCAACTTTATTTGGCGAATCGCCTGATGCATTTTCCTCGAGATATCGTTTGGGCTGAACAACTAGTTAAATTAGTAGTTATAAGTGATTAGACTTATATTACAAGCACAAAACTAGGGTGCGTAGAATTTTCTTGCAGCACCAATAATAATTGGACGATTATTTACATAATATAACACAAACTTAAATATAAAAACAAATTCAACATTTCTAACGTTGAAATTCGGCAAATCGAAGTATTGTCAGGCTAATTACCAAATATTATGAACGTTGTCTGCATTAGGCGCCTCATTTGGTTAGACAGATAAACAAATCTGGAATTTATAGTATCCGAGACATTTTAATGGATAAGCCTCAACATTAAGAAGCTCTTAAATTTAATATCTTATATTTATAAAATAAAAACTTATTTAAACTTTTAACGAGTAATCTCTGAAAGAGCGTGCTTCAAGTTTACACTTTAGCCACAATATTAAATAATAGACACTATATGATTAGGATGGATCTGTTAAAAATTGAATTTAAAAAATGGATTTCTACTATTGTTGTTGCTAAATGTATAGTTTTTCAATTTAAATATAAGGACATGCGAGTTTTAACTATTTGATTTGCTATTGACGGTACAACATGTTCAAATATTATGCCTAAGTGTAGCTTCAAGTAAGTATTGTTAAACATCATGATACTTCTCAGCGTAGTAGAACCTCAGTACTAAGAATGAAACCATTTTACTGAACCAGATTAGGCAATGTAAAAGAGAAGAGAAAGCATTTGTAATATCTCAACATTAAAACTGTTCCACATGTATGTAATCAAATAGTTATTGGTTTTATTTCTCAAATATATTTAAAATATACTTATTCCTTTATAAACCATGATTATAGCATTATTATTTACCAGTGTTTAATTAAACTTAAGTTATTTACAAATATGTGTAGTGTTTGAGCGTTTTTAAAAAGAACTATAAATTCATTTTCCAATTAACTTGGAAGTTCATTGATCTTTATTACATGCATGTAACATAAATTTCCAAGCACTACCATACGCTGTATTATTTAGGTAATCGCTGTAAAAGCTCGCAATTCCCCTCATAAAAGGTTTAACTTTAAAACTTATAAAATAGATTAATCAGTAGCTGTGGAAAAAGCAAAGAACGATGATGACAAAACAAAACTAAAGGAATATAGGCGTGCGTACTTAGAAGTTGAGAAAAAAACTAAATTACTAGCATATACTGTACTGAAGTATAATTAAGTGATGAATTACGTCCTCACACATTCACATCCTACCTAAAATTAGAGATTAGCTTTACAACCGAGAACTAAATTTATAGAGGTATATCCTGACACTCAATTTAAATAATAATATTCGTTGTAAGTATATTGTAATATATTCATGATATACTGGTTGGCTTAAGCAATAAATTGAGGTAAATGAGGTGTATTCTTACGGATCTTAAATTTGTCTAGGAGCAATAAATAAGTCTCAAGTCTCGTGGGCACTCAGCCAACTGTCGTAAAATGGATTGTAAATTACTCAAAACTGTCTCCGATGCCTTCGCGTATATTTGCTCATTTTATCAGATTAGTCTATTAAAAATTATGGTTGGATATATTTCGAATAACTCTATTACATTAGAAGAGATAATGACAATAAACTCTTAAAACTATTAAAATTTGTAATATTATTAATCTTTGTATGACAAAACATACACACTATAACTGTTATCTTTTTGAGATACCTATTTCTATGTGATATTGTAAAAGTAAATATTATTCTAACACAACATTTATCAAGGAAAATATTCTTTTAAGTGTTTTAAAATACTGCTTATATATATATTTAAGATCTTATTTTTTATAATATACTTAAAATAAACAAAATAATAAGCCGTTTTAATATAAACGTTTTATAAACTTTCTTAGCAGAACATATTACCAAATATTCTTTTAAATTATTTTACCATACAGTAATTAACATTTAAAAACAATTGCAAAGATAATGAAGGGTAAGTATCAGCAATCTGACATATACTTCCTCACATTAGCTTGTCAACAACTCTTATCATGGGTAAGCTGTGAAGTACAGTAACTCTGCTATTTTATTGGCAAAATCACAAAACCTGAAATAAGTTATAAACCACAATTTTTACAGCAATGGGGGATTGTACTGTTTCGTTTATAGTCAAAACAAGTTTTAAATACAGAACTTTTAAATTAAAAACTCTTTACAGCAGTAAAACCACAAAATCTGAAACAACTTTTAACTATAATTTTATAGCATTGGGGGTTGTACCATTTCGTTTATGGTTAAAAGAACTATTACATACTAAATTTCGAAAAAGCAAACTGTTTCAGCTGTTTTTTTAATATGATTTTTTCCGTACACCAGGATATAGAAAATATTAGTACAAAAGTTTTAACGTAAAGTTTATATACGTTATACGTTTTACATGGATCTGCTAGAATTATTAAAATTATGTATGTATGCAGTATTGTAAAAAGGTTTTGTCCGTTGTAAACAAATAAAAAACACGAAAAAATTATATCTTCATATAAACTTAATGTACGTTTTGTAGAATGTTATAATATTAAGTTTATTATATAACTAGCTGTGTACCCGTTCTACGCACGGGGATCTTATAATATTCAGTTGAAACCTTCTTATATAACGAACAGCAGTTGGTTTGCATATTTTAAGATATGCTGGCCAAACTATTATACATAGCTTCATTTTATGTTGTTTTTTGTTGTTCCGGATCGGTATGACAATCAATAAAAGGTTAAATTACCTCTGTGTCTGCCGGTCGATCCTATAACGGTAGGCTTACTTTTATTTTTACTATCTGATCTCGTTTGCATGGCTCAATCACGTCCTGGTTGAAGTTCGTTCGCTACGCTCACTCACCTGTATGTTGGAGCTCGTTCGCTGCGCTCACTTTCCTTCAGGTTAGCTCGTTCGCTACGCTCACTTGCCTTCAGGTTAGCTCGTTCGCTACGCTCACTCGCCTCCAGGTTGCAAATTAGCTGTTGTCATAAATGTAAAAGAAATAATAGTGCTAGTGCTGCACCCTGTTGGTAATCCTTGTAACTTTAATGCTATTGAACATCACAGAACAGAACCAACTTGTTTAATTGAAACAGCTGTTAAGATTCAATAATTTCATTTCTCATAAGGTTAACATGGGCTTCCAGAAATTCCACGTCAAAAATCGACAAAAACTTGATTTTCAAGGGTTTACTGTTAAATATCTAACTGTCTCATATTCGATGAAATACGTCTAAAACCATCTCATATATGTATAGTATTTGGAAAATAAGTTTCAGGCGGGACAGTGCTATAGTTATTGAGGAGTAGTTGTAATAAAGTGCGTATTTTAGCGTTACCAAGAGAATGACAGATAGACAGACAGACAGACAGACAGACAGACAGACAGAAATTGAGATAAGGTTTGATTCGGTTTCTCTGACCAATGAAATGTAAAAATAACCAAAAAATTCATTATTCTAAGCAATGTACAGACAAAACTCTAATTTTATTTATATAGATGTATGTTATTGTAAAACAATTTCATTCGTTGGAAGAAACAAATAAATAAACATGCTAAATTTCAATACAATCGGACAACAGATGTAGTCTGTAGCTCTGTACACGTACACACACACCTGAGGTTGAACACCACCTTTTTGGGTACAGGTGGAATATTATACAGGGTGTATATAAAGTCCCGCACGGGCTTAATATTTTCTAAACGACAACAGATAAATCAAAAAGATTTGGTACATCAACACCACACCTAAAAATCTACTTTTTCAAGGAACTATCAACTTTCTGTCATATCATGGGGACGTCCCGCAAGGAGTCAGAAGGAAATCTTAAATAGAAGCATAGGTTGGCATGTACATCTAATTAAATATCTTTATTAGCAGAATATAATGCCGCAAAGTTGAACTCAAACGGACAACCGAGCCAATAATGACAGTTATTAAAAGATTAATTTGCATTGCTATTATACACTTACTCCTCAGGGGGCACAGCCCTAGGAATTGGAAGAAAATTATTACCGTAAGCATAGGTCGATATGTACATCAAATTAAAGGTCTTCACTAGTAGATTAAAATGCCGTATATTCAAGCTCAAAAGAATGCCTGAGTAAAAAATGGCAGTCGTTCAAAGATTCAAAATGGCGGATTCAAGAAATGAATCCTTGAAATGAACCTTTGAACGGATGCCATTTTGCGCAGGATCAACCTTTTGAAGTGCGGTTTGCGGCATTGTATTCCACTAAAAAAGACCTTTCATTGATCATATTGTGCATAATGA